TTACAAGTATTACGGCTTCCACAGATGAAATGTTTAATGTATTTATTGTCAAAGCATTTAATATATTCATTGCTATCGGGATGTTAAGAGCATTCCATGGAATATAACAAAAAGTGTTTTCTGAAATAAATGACATACCCTACCTTAAGTGATGCAATGTTAAGTTATGTTGTGCTATGTTTTTTATATTACATTATGTTATGTTATGATCTCTTACATTATGTTATGTTGTATTATGTTATTTTATGTCCTCTTATGTTATGATATCTTAAATAATATTATGTCATGTCATGTCATGTCATGTTGTGTTATCTTTTACATGATTAAACTTAATCAAGATAAAAGGTTTTCAGGCTTCATCCTGTTCATTTTCATCCACCTACTATAACCGCTTCTTCTAACAAATTAAGAAGATTGAATTGCAATCTTTAATCGCAACACTAATTTGAAATAATGGCAATAAGATTCAAACCAGAGAGATCATATGATAGCATTATATAATGTGGACATGAAACCTACCTGCAAGCATGTACCAGTGCAACACATTCATGGACATTGTTTTTATTTTATATCATCAATGTTTCAGGACTCTGTCAATGAGGTTATGTCTTGAGTTTGTGTGTCTGTTTGTCAGCAGGATTAAGGATAAAAACACAGTGCATATCTTTGACATTTTGTAGAATTATGTCACATTGGCCAAAGAAAAACCCATTACAGTTTGGAGCAGAATCACAGGGCGGATACACAAATTATTTCCCACTCATGGAAACAACCTTGGCAGAGGTCTACGCTCAGAAGTGCCCTTGCAGTTTCTGGTGTAATTGTGTTTTATATTACACAATATTTCCACTCTAAGAAACTATAGTCTCAAGATGTATTGTTCCAATTCTTAAACTCTGAGGGATATTGCGTTTATGGTCAAATTGTAATATATATCCAGTATCAATCGTTTTTCTGTTCATTGTTGATCTGATTGTTGTCTCTACTTGTCATTTAACAATCAGTACGCTTTTTGATGTTAAGTTATTGTCTTTTCAGGGTTGGTTGTTATTTAATTTTCCCTTCTTTATTTTGGTTGCATATTTTGATTGTGTGCTATCTGCACATTACCTCTTTATTGTCAATATGTCATTGGTAAGCAATACATGCCTTTACACGTCTTATTGTTTCTCAATGTCGCAGTTTGTATATAAAATCATAATTGTACAAACATTTAGTATAATAAATTCACCAAGAAACTATTACTTAGAAAATTGCTTACACATCAGTGATTTTAAGGTTTTGTTGGTATGTTATGCCTTGGTATGGTATGTTACTCTTTGACTAATGTGTACAGAAACATAACATCTGGTGTGTGAGGGTAAAAGATAATAAAATAAAATATAATGTCCTGGGAATACAGCTATTCCCTCTAATTGGAGGCCCATATGCAACTTAACCACATAAATGTCAGGTATATACCCATGCCATGAACGTTATGTTATATTGTCTTTAGGGCCTTGTCCTCGTCCTCAATCCTTCACCAGTCATTGTCAACAATTGCACAAAGGGACACAAACAGATACATTAAATATTTCCAAATAAGAAACATTAAAAGTGAAACTTTCAAAGTGAGAGATGCTGTTAAAAAAAAGAAAATAAGTTAAGATACAAAACAAGCCAGATGGGAAATATTTTGCAAGAAACATCAGGACGCACTGTTTGATACATCAAATGGCCAGCCTTACAAGAGGCAGCTAAGCCTTTGCAGTAGGCCTAGTCTGAATATCCAGATGTTTGATTAGTTAATTAAGTCTCCATGGTAGTTAATCATTGTGTTTTTCTATTGTACAACAGCAGGTAAGTAGAGGACAATGACCCTGAAATACGGAGATAGGATGGTGTGGGATATGCAGAGACAGGCTGCATTTGTTCTTTGTGGTGAACATTTTCGAAAACACACAGAGCTAAAAATGTTAAAAAACAACACTTTTGTGTGGATTCTTAGTATTTGTGTCTTTCCAAAAGAGAGTACATCTCTTTTCTTAATTCTTTGTAAGCTGTAGATTGATATCATTAATGTGGCCCAGTAATGATGAAACAAACAACACAATGCCAATACCCATGTCCCCTCTAGTGGAGACAAGTTGCAATGCAAGGGGCAAAATAAAAGCCAAGAGGCAGCATTAGAGGTGTGTTATTTTATTTTATGTCAATCTTTCAAATGCACATTTTTAAAGTATGTACTCCAAAACATGTCATCCTCCTGGATTCATGATTGAGCAAAGATATGTTGGTCCAGGTGTGTTAAACAGTGGATCTAATCCTTTTGTGAAACATTTCATCCCTGTGACAAATTCAATAAGGATGAGGTGCATTAGCAGAATGTCATACATGCCAGTGTTTGTCATACGAGGATTAAGTCATCTATATTTGTTCACTAAAACAGTTGTTTGTAATGATAAGGCTGACACACTTAATCGATGTGCTCGCATTTCCCTGACAGTCCAGATTAACAGGCAATAAGACTTTATTAGCAATATGCAACAAACACACACACGTACACATTTGCAAGGCATCAATTAAATTCACATATGGTTGGAGTAATTATCGTTATAGATAGCTGGATTTAAAGGGGAGATATCAATGTGAAAAGGAGGGTGAGTTGCCCTGGAGAAAAGAAGAGCAGGGAGTGAACGTTATAGGGCTAAGGAGGGCTAGTAGCAGAGACGACATAAGGAAACAACAACAGCTGTTTAGCTTGTGGCTAAAAACAGGATGGAACAACAACATCATTTGCTAAGAAAATGATCCGGGAAAAGAGATTGTACTGACTCGAAGATATGAAATGGGATGCCTTCGAATTACTTTTTTATTTTAATTCCGTGGGGTGTGTTTTATTAGGTTTTGTTCTCATTAGTTTTTTCTCTGTTGTTTTTAAATGGTATTCATTCTGACAATATATTGTTTCATTAGCATATAAAGAAAGAAAATAAAAAAGCTGAATGTGACTTATTTTCCCACTAGCTGAAACTTAATATGATCTTCTGATTATTCTAAAATCTGTTTGCAAACAATGATAAATTGGTGTTACATGCAGAACCATATTAAAGATTATGGGATGGCTGCTCACTGAAAATGCATCACTTAAGTGCAACACAGGTTTCTATTCTATTCAGAGGTCACTGTGTTTTGACTGGATGACGACACATACAAATAAACATTATTGTTGTTAACTTTATTTTAACTACAGTATCCAATTTATTGCTGCAATAATATACACAGATAATATTCGTGAAAAAAACCCTCTCCCAGTGCCTGCTAGAGAATGTGTGAGCACGCCTGTGACTGCTCTGCCCTTGACTTGTATCCATTCATCCAAGCGTGCTGGATGGTTTAGTTAATTAAGCTTAATCTACCCCCAGAGAGGGATATGAGTGCTGTTACAGTGGCCCACTGAGCCGTCCCTGTACACTCTTCTCAGGACCCCCCTCGGAGCCATCAGGGCCGCGCTACTCAACCATGTTCAAGTACACTGACAGGGCTCTGGTGAAACACTGTAAATATAATAGAGTTAAAAGATTTGGGCCACAGAAGAAGAAGAAAAAAAAAGGTAGAATATATTAATTACTGAAATAATATAGCTAAATTACTTGTGATTTCTGTCACAACTTTTATGGAAAAGCAACCACAAGCATAGGGACAGATGAGTTAGATATACTTGACTGGCTATGATTTGAATCCCAAAATGCAGTATGTATGGTTTATTGATACTTTGGAATGAGATGTTTGTTGTCACATTGACAAGGTCACTCCAGAGGGAAATACTTAATGTAACAATGAGCCAGGTTGATGTGCAAAAAACACAGAAAGAAGAGGGAATACTTTGACAATATTTAAAATAGCTTTATTTGCAGTTAAAGTGTGCACAAGGAACACTGCATGCCATGCACTGGGCAAACGTGTATGTAACTTTTAAATATCTCATCTGGTAAGATGAGAAGTATCCATTTTGCGGTTTTCTGTGTTGCATTTCAAAGTTCCCCAAATGTTTATCTCGAATACACACAAGTTCAGTGCACGCATGATTCATCATTGTTCTTGTTCCAGCCTGTTCTCGGTATTCTGATGTGATCAACTTTTGGCAAAGTGACTCACCTTAAAAGTGGCATGTCTGTCAAGCTTTGGATTTATTTAATGTCATTTTTCGTTTTTTACACAAAAGTAGAAGAGAAAAACTATAAGGATGGGTTACACACTACCAACAGCCCCTGCTTACTTCTTACATTACAATGTAGCGTATCAGAATATCACTAACAGCTTTAAAAAGAAAAAGAAGAAAAAAGCTGGCCTTAGATGCTATCAGAGTTTGGAATAACGTTAGTTGCAGTGACCTACTGTTCTTAATTGTATTATATAAAGTTTGCAGTCCAACAAATGCAGCTAACTTTATGTTAAAAGTAAAAACATAGACACTTAAGAATTGACTTCTTCTGTAAACAACAACAATTCATTTTTACATGGATCCTCAATTGGAACAGGATCTGTTTGCAAATCTTTAGCCTCAGTCTTCATGCCATTGACTGTTTACTAAAGACCCTTTAATGAGACTCTCATTTGAAAAGTATTAATTTAAAACTTTGAAACAGCCAGAAACAGTGTTTTCCACTAACTCATGTAACTACTTCTGGTTAAATTGACTAGCTACCTAAAACTGATCAAATAAAGCCGAAATATGAAAATCGGAATACAATAATTAACAGCTTGCATTTGAAGTCCGATATCCAGAGCCTGTTTTAAAGAAATACTGAGAAAGAGTAAACTACTGTTTAAAATGTAAATGGTTATCCTACGTTTAGAGAGAATCATAAAAATCGACCCCCTAATATACTAAAAGATAGGTGTAACAAATTCAATACAAATATGAAATGACTATAAGCTTTTACTGATGTTTTCATTGCAGCAATGAATGTCTGCAATGGTTCTAACCCAACAGCAAAGCTTTGTTATATAACAGCTACTTTCTGCGTAACACAAGAGCCAGTGGTTCTCTTTCTGTCTCTCACCCTCCTGACTTTCTTGCAGCTAAAAAGATCCAAAAGATGCTTTCGCCACTTTTCTGAGAGCATATACAGAATAGGGTTCATGCAGCAGTGAGAATGAGCAAGTACATAACAAATACTAAAGGCAATATTCAGGCGTTGCCTTGCAAAACAGTTTTTAGGTTCATTGAGGGACCTGATTATATCCAAAATCATGTAAGGTACCAAGCAGATGATGAAGGCAGCAACTATACATAACACCACCACTACTGTCCTGTGCTTTCTTCTGTTTGAAGCCTGCAACACTGTCTTGAGGATGGCAGAATAGCAGAAACAAATGATGGATAACAGGAAGAAGAAGAGCAGAGACACTGCAAGTTTATATCCGATTTCGTCATTTAAGATCTTCGTACACATGGAACGACCACCCCTCTCTTCCACCGTGACTTTGGTAGCAGCATATACAGAAAAAGAAATGCTGATGATCCATGCAGCTGCACAGCTCAATGCTGCAAACCTCTGCCTCCTTACTTTGTTTCTTGGCATGTTGTGCAGCACCACAGTTATGAAACGGTCCACAGTCATGGCAGTCAGTAGAATGATGCTGCTGTACAAACCAACAATGTGGGAAGCAGTCACTATTTTGCAAGCAAAATCACCAAAGAACCAGTCCTGCAGCCGATAGATGGCCCAGAATGGAAGTGTGACTGTGAGCATCAAATCGGAGCAGGCAAGGTTCAGGACAAATAGATTTGTGACATTTGTTAAGTTCTCATAGAGAAAGAGGACATATAAGAGGAGGCAGTTTCCTATGATACTGAGGATGAAGATCAAAATGTATGAGGACCCTCCAAAAGTTTCCATGACCACCACCCTCTCACAGACTTCAGAGCTGTAGTTTTCACCTCCGATGTTCACTGTGGAGTTGTTGAATGCCATTTTACGTTGTTTTCTGGGAAACATAAGCAGAAAAATGTAATTGGCAAATTGAGCAGATATTTTTAACCTTCAGTCAAATTTAGTTTTAAAAAGTAGTTCCTAGAAAAATATAACAATACAGAAAACAATTATGTAGTAAGAACATTGCCCTTAAATATGGAAAGCAATTACAGTAAATATTAAGCAACTTACCCTGAACAACGACTGTCACTTCATGTGGTGAATATGATTGTGATGGAGAAGTTGAGCAATAAAAGACCAAACTCATGAAGTAACTCCGCCTTTGGTTTTAATGTATTCAGAGGTGTTGCTTCATCATTCCAGTGAAGGCATGAATATGTTAAGATTAGCAACAATTGGTGATGTGTATATTGGTGATGTTCTGCTTTAGAACATAATCTAACAGCAGGAAGGAAGGTTACACCCCATAAATATGTTTTGATCAATTTGAAGTGGCAGATTTTCTCCGGTTGTGTATTTTCAAATTCTAGCGATCTCGAGCCGGTTTCTCAAATTTACCTGCCCTACCTTTAAAGTAGTCACCTTAATATCGTTAAGGAAACATGAACACCATATTAAACTAGTTCAAAACAAATATTATACTAAATATTAATGGATGTTTTCATATTAGCGATGAATGTCTAGCTGCTGGTTGGTTCCAACACAACAGCGGAGCTTTGTGCTTTAAAAGCTACGTTCTGCTTAACAGAAGAGCCAGTGGTTCTCTTCCTGTCTCTCACCCTCCTGACTTTCTTGCAACTAAAAAGATGCTTTCGCCACTTTTCTGAGAGCATATACAGAATAGGGTTCATACAGCAGTGAGAATGAGCAAGTACAAGAAACGTCATTAGGAGAGCAGTTTCTCCAGAGAAGGACGCATTTCGGAGGACATGTGCGGTTCAACAAAGAAGTCCTGCATCATCTGCATTGATCGGGTTGTGCATCTACAAATTCGACGGTGATTAAAAACCATCTTATTTTCCTCGTCAGTAGGCTATATTATTCATTCTAGCATTACTACAAAAAATGTTTAAAATCAAGCTGATGCTCAGCCAGCCAGCTGTCTAAAGTTAGCTAGGGCAGTGGTTCTCAAACTCTTTTCAATAATGTAGCCTACCACCTTTTCTTACTGATGTATATTTTCAAAATGGTCTTAATGCACATTTAAAAAATGTTCTTAATAGTACTGTTTGTTTTCTAAATGTTGCTTATAATGCATTTGTTCAAAAGTTTTCTTACCGATGTTTTTTTTTTTACAGTAGCGGTATTATGTTGACACTAGTTGCCAATTTAAATAAAAGTGTGTTTGCATTAAATCCTTTCCAAATTGTTTATTGCTTATTTTGCATAATTTTCATAATAATGCACATTTTAAGCAAATGTATGTAGCCGACAGAACAATACATATTTTATGTTAATTTAATTAATAATTACTTTTTAGATATTCTAAACTGCTAAATTGAGTTGTTGTATCATCAATCAAATAATCTACTGGCAACCCCCTAACCAGAATGTTACTGTGAATTATTTAATTTTTTACAGTAATAAACTGAAATTGTTCAACAGTATGAATACTGTAGAATTTCAGTTTATTGCTGGCGTCTCTGCTGCCAGTATTTTACTGTTAATTGAAAAGATACAGCAGTATACTGTATTTTATTTTTACAGTAAGAGGCTGTAAAGTCTTTTCACAGTATGAGTACTGTAGTATTACAGTAAAGTGCTGGCGTTTGTGCTGCCAGCACTTTACTGTTATTTGACAGGAACATTTGTTACAGTGTAGGTGTAACTAATTCAATACAAATATGAAATGACTATAAGCTTTCACTGATGTTTTCATTGCAGCAGTGAATGTCTGCAATGGTTCTGACAAAACAGCAGAGCTTTGTTATATAAAAGCTACTTTCTGCTTAAAGGTAGGGTAGGTAAATTTGAGAAACCGGCTCGAGATCGCTAGAATTTGAAAATACACAACCGGAGAAAATCTGCCACTTCCTTATAGAGCCCCTCCTCCAACACACACAAACGTGCACATGACCAATGAGGGCACGAGATAAGTTTGTGCCCCGATGGAAGGCTGACAGGCAGGTAGGCCATCCAGTTATTTTAGCCGGGCCGGCTAAAATGATTGGTCGTACTTTTTACAGTACTACGGCTTCCACAGATGACATTTTTTTATGGATTTTTTGTCAAAGCACTTAAGATATTCATTGCTATCGGGATGTTAAGAGCATTCCATGGAATATAACAAAAAGTGTATCTCGAGCCGGTTTCTCAAACGTACCTACCTTAAACACAAGAGCCAGTGTTTCTCTTCCTGTCTCTCACCCTCCTGACTTTCTTGCAGCTAAAATATCCATAAGATGCTTTCGCCACTTTTCTGAGAGCATATACAGAATAGGATTCATACAGCAGTGAGAATGAGCAAGTGCATTACAAATACTTAAGGCAATAATCACACGGTTCAATGCATAACAGTTTTTAGGTTCATTGAGGGACATGATTATGATTATATATATATATATAGATATACATATATATCACCTTAATCAGTGGTGTTGCATCATAAATTCAGTAAAGGAAGGAATATATTAAGATTAACAAAAAAATTGTGACATATTTATTGTTGCTGTTCTGCTTTTATAACATTGTATAGAAACAGCAACACGGAGACAGTCCAGAAATATTTGTTGTTGTATTTTATTGTAAAACATGAAAATTATAAGGATAGTTATATTATCAATAAAAAATAAACACATTTTATATTGTTTCAAGTTCCAAATTGGTCACAAGAAAAAAAAATCTTTGGAGAGGAAAATATTTGTAATTTGCTTGCAAGACTCTTTAAGGTGACAATATAAACAATTTAGATATATATTTGATATTAAACAAAAACAAAAAATGAAACACAAAGTGAACATATCATCTTTAAAAAATGTAAATTAAAATTAATAAAAACAATTAAAAAATGACATACATATATTAACTCATAGAAATCTGTGTGCAAATAGTATTGTTGACCATAAACACCCGGGTGCAAATAGCATCTGCCTTAACCTTTTGTGACATTTCTCCCCCAAAAGGTGGCATGTCTTTCAAGCTTGTATTTATCAGTTGTATGATGTAATGTATTTTGTTGTTTTTAATACTAAAGCAAAAACACAAGCGAAAGACTGTGAGGATGGACTTATCTAGCGTATCAGCATATCTGTTTGTGGGTCTGCAGCTTGAGTACAAAATAAATGAAAAAAAGCTGGCCTTAGATGCTATCAGAGTTTAGAGTAATGTTGGCGGGGTTGTACTGTTCTTTATCATATTTGAGCGTAATGTTTTCCAAATAGTGTCACATTGTTGAAAGACTTATGTATGGCTTATTGCAAAATGTAAAACATATATACCTAAGCATTAAATGTTATACAACACCATTGAATCTTTACATGGTTTTCTTAGGGATACAAACTTTTTGCGAACTTTAGCCTTAATGAGTAAGATAAAACTTTAAGACAGCCAATGACAGTATTTACAACCAACTCACCAAGCTAATAAGAGCTAAATTAACTAGCAAGTTACCTAAAACTCATTAAAAAAACTATGCAGATTTGAATACAAATATAAATAACTTGCATTTGTCACCCTGTCTGAAATCCAGGGTCTGTTTTAAAAGAATACTGCATGGGAAAGCGTAAACTTCTGTTTAAAATGTAAATAGTGGATCAAAAATGTATAGAGAATGACATTAAAGTAGTCCCCCTAATATCTCTATGGAAATGTGAACACTATAGGTTAAACTAGTTCAAACAAATATCATATCAAGTATTAATTGATGTTTTCATATTAGCGATGAATGTCTAGCTGCAGGTTGATCCAACACAACAGCAGAGCTTTGTGCTTTAAAAACTACGTTCTGCTTAACACAAGAGCCAGTGGTTCTCTTTCTGTCTCTCACCCTCCTGACTTTCTTGCAGCTAAAAAGATCCAAAAGATGCTTTCGCCACTTTTCTGAGAGCATATACAGAATAGGGTTCATACAGCAGTGAGAATGAGCAAGTATCTGACAAATACTAAAGGCAATATTCAGGCGTTGCCTTGCAAAACAGTTTTTAGGTTCATTGAGGGACCTGATTATATCCAAAATCATGTAAGGTACCAAGCAGATGATGAAGGCAGCAACTATACATAACACCACCACTACTGTCCTGTGCTTTCTTCTGTTTGAAGCCTGCAACACTGTCTTGAGGATGGCAGAATAGCAGAAACAAATGATGGATAACAGGAAGACGAAGAGCAGAGACACTGCAAGTTTATATCCGATTTCGTCATTTAAGATCTTCGTACACATGGAACGACCACCCCTCTCTTCCACCGTGACTTTGGTAGCAGCATATACAGAAAAAGAAATGCTGATGATCCATGCAGCTGCACAGCTCAATGCTGCAAACCTCTGCCTCCTTACTTTGTTTCTTGGCATGTTGTGCAGCACCACAGTTATGAAACGGTGTATGAGGAGCCTCTAAAAGTTTTCAAGTCAAACACCATCTCACAGACTTCAGAGCAGTAGTTTTTACCTCTGTTCACTGTGGAGTTGTTGAATGCCATTGTACGTTGTATTCTGGGAAACATAAGCAGAAAACAAAAATGTGCAAAGTGTAATTATAAGTGAGAAGATGACCCTAAGTGAAATTAAGTTTTAAAAAGTAATTCCTAGAAAAACATAACAATATGGAAAACAATTATATAGTTAGAACATCACCATTAAATATGGAAAGCAATTACAGTAAATATTAAAGGGCCCATGTCATGGCCATTTCCACTGATCATAATTCCATTGTTGAGGTCTACTAGAATAGATTTATATTGTGCAATTTTCCAAAATCACACTGGTTTCTCATACAGCATCTCTGTAAACTACTTGTATTCACTGAATTTCACTCTCTGCCTTTAACGGCTCGTTGT